ACATTTTCGTTGAGCTATACAAACTATTTACTTACTATTTGTGCAGAGCTAATTTCAGATATATCAGTTAATTTACTTAATACTTAAACGTTGCAATATTCTTACATTTTATCTTCAATTACATATCTTAGCAAATCACTTTTGCTATTGATTTCTTGTTGTTAATTTTTTACATAACCTATAAATAGAAATATTCATGAAAGCATGATTACTAAAAATTTTAAAATAAACGCTTTTGACTTAATAAAATGTCTAATTTCTACACTAATTCGCTACACGAATTGTGACGCCGATGAAATGAAGCTACCGTATTTTTAAGTACTCAAAATTTTATTTCTTTAACATTTCAATAAATAAAGCGCACTATATAAAATCTTTATAATTTTTTCATATTAGTATTAAAACCTATCACGCGTTTATTTTATTTCTATAAAAATTCACAATAATTAAAAAAGTTGATTATTTTTAAATATTTTCTCGTATTTTGTAGTGCTATGCCCCATACTTTTTTTCGTTTTGTAAATATTGAGAAAAACACTAAAGTTCATTACCTGGTATAATATTTGTGTCCTTCATTAATATGATTATCCTACAGTTATAGCTTTAACAATTAATGACCTAATCAACTTATCATTATTTCTCAACGAATTTATTCATAAATGTCAAAAGGGCCATTAAATTAAATTAAATACTAGTAGTTAACTATTATGAAAATAATTTTTCTTTCGATTCAACTTTAAATTATATATTACATACAAAGAATATATCTTATATAATAATTTTACAAATAATGAAGAATAAATAAATGCCCATTCAAAAGGTAGGAAAATCAAATATGTATATACATTAAAATTAAAATGATGAAAATTCACATTTACCGTTGTATAAATTAATTTGAAAATAAAGTGATGTTTAAAAATATATATAATTTGCATATCTTCGATATTCCTACTTTCTCTTATGCATTGATATCTCATCTATTGATTAATTAATTTAATAATGAACATTTACGTAAATACCCTAAAGTGGCATTCAAACGCGTTTTCATTTTACCCTTAGTTTAAGTCATTTTTTAGTTGAATTTCCTAGTAGTTTTTACTAGGCTTCGCTTTTTTTTGAAGAGTTTAATTTTTCGTTCTGCAAACTATGTATCCACCACGTGATTTCTTTTGCAATAAAATTAATTTAATTAATTTCCCTTTTGCATTCACGCTAGTTCAATCGATTGTTAAACAAATTAAACAAATTAATTACTTTTAATATTAATAAATTATTTATTCAGCAACTTTCATCATCGAAATAAATTTTCACGTTCTTAATTCATTACGGTAGAGGACTTAACTTTTTTCTTTTAACTCTTTCGAAAATTACTTAATGTTAGTTATGAAATTATGTATATTCATAATAATTGATTAAATGCCTAAATTTTTGACATCAAGGGTAATGTAATAAAATCATTAGTAAAAAGATGTTATAAAAATGAATTCAAATAGGATAACTAAAATAGGGAAAGTTGAAAAATTATAAATCCGCATCGACGTGTATTATTACATTATTGCACATTATTGCATACTATTTTGATACTAGCATTGTCAAAATTTATTCGTGTAATTAAACTAGAAGATAATCAAATATGTCTGCAAATATTATAAAAGTTTTATTGCATTTGAAAATAATCAAAAATACAAGTCGATCATTCTGATTATTTTATTGCGTGTGAGATTCTTAATTATGAGAAATTAATAATTAGTTTTTGAACATCATTTTGACTCACGTCATTATTATTACTGTAATACAAGAAGTAAGTCTAACATATATGAATAAAAAATATTGCTTTTCGATATCAATAATAAATAAAACATAACAAGTGCTCTAAGTAATGAAATTGTTAGTATCGATATCCTCGCTGTCTAGGAAAAACGATAAAAATACGTAAAATAGTTGGAGCACATGGTATACGCATCCGTTTATACATACTCGCAACTAATCCGCCATTACACACAACTCACAATAAATTCGAATTAAATAAGGATGAAAAAGAAGTTTCAGAGAAATAAATTAATTGCGCGTGTATCTACACTAATTTTGTAAAATGAAAAGTGATATATAACGGGATGATAAACCTAGACCACCCAATAATTGCAATATCAAAGAAAGAAAGATAATAGTTGTTGGCGAAAAGTTTTCGGATACTGCAAAGAATTGTGAAGAGCTCAGCTTTTCGGAATCTCCACTATCAATCTTAATTAATTCGATTATATATTAAAGCTCTGCCTCTGTCCATCGAGCATCACACATCCAATGTCCTATTTTTTGTTGTTGCTAACTATTTCGGAAATTTCAGATCTTCGCTTAAGTGAATCCTCAAAGAATATCAAAACACAAGAATATAAACAAAAATCGTTAAAAATCAAATTTAATTAAGGGTATAGTTTTTATGATATTATGATATTCGTAAAAGCAGTTACACTTAAACATTAACTAAATTTTTTATAACTAAGGAAATTAATTTTTTTCAACATAATAAAATTATTTACAAATTCATTTGCTTTATAGTTCATTTCTAGCAAAATAGCTTAGTAAAATTAAAATTATAAAATCAAGAATCAGTAGAACTATCTAAATATTGAAAACAATAACAATTCCTTGAATAAGCCCTTGTGAGTTCAAAGGAACTGAATATGTCCACACAGTCACTAATGTGTTAGTATGTAGATAGGGAGGCGAATTGAAAGAAGTAAAATGTACACAAGTAAACGCTTGCTTCTATGCTCAATTGTAGAAACATTTGTGTTTATTTATCTCCAGAAGATTTTATACACGCGCAAAAAATCTAAGACAAATTTAAATGAGCACAATAAAAATACAGTTAAATTATTCTCTTCAATTTTTGGGATTAATTTACTTAAATGGGATTGTTAGGTTTAATTGCAAATTATACAAGGGGTTAATTCAGTTAATCGCTTCCGTATTTATCGATTTAAAAGATTTGTACGTATTTGTCCACAAATTATTTTTTAAATTATTAATATGCAACTTACGGTTCTTTAATCTTAAATAATATCACTTCCCTGAAGCAGCTCTCAAAAGCCATAAAATCAAAAAATCAAAAATTCAAAAACAGAGACAAAATAACAAGTTACTTACGCTTGCCACGGAAATAAGGTGCGCTAGCGTTTTGAAAACGGCCCTGGTTTAGTGAAGTATCGCGTCACAAGGACTGCCTGTCTCCCTTAATCACCCTTAACACCGAATTCTCATAAGCTCTTAAAGAGTATTGTAGGCTCCAACCGAGTCCTCAAGCACCTGTCACTGATTAACTAAGCTGAGTCGCGTTATTCTCTGGACAGCACTGCGCGCACTAATAAGCATGGGGGAGGGGCAGCCTTGTACGCGGAAACACCTCCGAGCCTCAGAACACTGCTCTTGAATCGATCCACAGTCACCACGTGAAGACACATACGTTTGGCTCAATTCCACTGGAACAGATAGCACCACATAACACAACTAGGATTACTTACTAGTTACCACTGCTGTCTTAACCGATTCTCTCGAGCCGCCAAGCTCTTCTTCGACGACCTCGCGAGCACTGTCGCCGCTTCTGCCACCACCGCCGTAGTTCCAATCGCGCACGCGCCCTCAAGTTCCCTCCCCATCTTTCGTTTCGGCTCCCCAGAAGAGAATCAACACCAAAGACCTTTATTTCGTACTTCTGTACATAACAAAAATGGGGAGATCTATCTGTATCTGCTAGAGTATTCCTAGTCTCAACATACAGATCCTGAATCAAGTAGCTCTCATTGCTGAAATTGTGATTCTATCACCGTTATCAACAATCCTCATTGCTAAAATCCCGAGTTTTCTTATCAAATTTATGTTTATTTACTTTTTGACTTAACACGATAATATTTGCCTAAATTCGTTAGGTTCTTTCTATATCAGTAAAATAATTATTGTGCCTGAATGTTAGAAATTACAATTTTAATTTATTATCACTACTTTTCATTACTCAAAACAATATTGGGGTATAATTTTATTTTATATTTCATTTTATTTGCACCAATTAAAAAGTATTCATGCAAATTAAATAAATACGTGTATTACAATATTAATAACAACCCAATTTCTGGTTCCAATTTCTATTCCAGTAGTACAGAAATTTTTTATGTTAATTTATTCCTTTTAATATAACAATAGTTCTAATAAATATTCTTAAAATTTCTTTAAATTAGAAATATTTCAAATAAATATTTTTCACTTAATTTTAGAAAATATAAAATAAATTAAAATTTAACGAATATAGTTTCTGAGCTTATTGTAAATTAACATTATTAAAGTTTAAAAAATTTTATTTTTATATCAAATATAATCAATAATAATCTTATTGCAATTATCGTTAAATTAATTTATTTACATATAAGTATTGTTAAGTGGTTGTAAGCACTAATAATTTTCCTGGTATAAAATAATAAAAAGAGAAAAAAATATGCACATGACTTTCCAGCGTCAGACTTCGTAGCCGATTGCATTACAAAAACCATGATATATAAATTAATTAAAAACCTAAATTTCTTACCTCATTTTTATTTTACTTCGTTTACAAGATACATGGGAGAGGAAAAGTAGCTATGAGATTCACATCCGCCTTGTATTTTCGAACGCGCATTGAAAATTGTAGCAGTTCTTTTTCTTCTCAACCTTTAATTCTTTTTTGTTCTCTTAATCCTTTCCCCCTCCCTCACTCATTACATTTATACTCAACTTCAACTTAAATATATTTTTCACCGCTATTTTCGATCTGCATATTCTATTTATCGTTGACAATGCATACGAGCTAATGTTTGGTTAGTGAACATGAATTTACGAACATAAATTGCGCGGGCTCTTAGCTTGGTTTTGTGAAACTACCAATAAAAGAGATGCCGGCGAAAGAATGTAACCAATCATGTAATGGAAAGATGAGTTGGTAGGGGACGAAAACGCCATTATGCACACATTGCTTGCCGGTGGCAGCGTCGACAACAGAGACAACGAAGAAGCCAAGTAAGAAGCAGATACGATAATCTGAACTTGGACATAGTGATAGAACTTTAATTTTTTGCGCAATGGACAAATACGAATTACTAAAACAAGTTGGCGAGGGTTCCTTTGGCCAAGTATTCAAGGCCAAAAGAAAGTGCGATGGTGCAACCGTAGCTTATAAAGTCACGAGAAAAGTAAGTTTTTCAGCGGGTATTTAACATATGAGGCTATCTATTTTTTTATAATTGCGTCTTTGTTTGATTACTGTATTACAGAAAGGCCGATCATCCAAAGAGCTCAAGAGTTTGCGTCGCGAGTGTGAGATTCAAAAGGATATGCATCACCCAAACATAATACAGATGCTTGATTCATTTGAAACTGAAACAAAGGTAATCATTTATTTTAATTTTCATCTAACTCTTCGTATTGCTTGCTTCTTCCATCAGGATTAGTAACATTGCATGGTGCCTTTTAATTATGTAATTAAAGACTAAAATTTATTTCTGAGGAGCATTAGTTTTAATACAAATAGTGTTTTTTAATGCAATAGGCTTTACTCTTGTTATGAAATGCTTGCAATACTGAATAACTTGTTAATAAAATACATTTTTTACTGGTATACCAATTATATACAAATCTATACAACTATATTTTATGAATATTGTATTCCTAATTTAATTTAATGACTTAGAATTTATACATTATTATTTATCATATTTGTATTTGTATATAAAAGTTGGCTTCTAAAAATTGTTAAGCAACATAGAACAAATATTTTGTCATTGATATGTTGATATTTCTAAATTCCATAAGTGTTTTTTTCTGTTTTTTTTTATGTTTGTTCAAATATTAAAAATTTCACTTATATTTCAATTTTTAAATAAAATCTTAGAACATGAAAAGAATTTATAAACACGAAATTTTAATAATTTAAAATAAGACAAACATTATTTAAAAATTAATTTTTAACTTTAAGAAACTTGTTCAAATTTTTGATAATAATTAAAGACTTATAAAAATCTTTCATATTTATTAAATATTTATTTCCTACTTGCTTTATTTCTATTTGGGTATTGATTAAATCTGATTTTTAAAATGAAACAAATAAATTTTAATAATAATTAAAATACTTGAATTAGAAAAAAAAAGACTCATTTATAAATATTGATATAGTGATGATCATGTTTAATATAATAAAATACTAAATTATCTTGTTTATTACTCTTGACGTATAATTCAATATCATTTAAACAAATAAATCATCTACATCGATATAAGCTATTTATTAAGAATTATTATTAATCAGAATTAGTCAAATATGTAACTTAATAATAAAAATTGAATGACCAACTCATAATAAATATTTGAATCTATGTATATACTATTATTACTGAAAATTATTTTTAACTTATTTTGAATGTTCTTATGAAAATATATTTTAAGTATGATTAATAAAACAGAAATTAAACTATATTTACATAAATCTACAACTTTTCAGAATTAATAAACAATTAAAATCGTTAATTTATAATTTAAAGTACTCATTAATTAAGTAAATAACATTATTAAATGTTTATTTGTTAATAGAAAATTTATGAATGAAACGAAACCTAAGTTTCTAAAATTTTGTTTAACCTATAAAAACCTATTTTTTCTTTTAAAACGTTTCAAATATTGTGATTGTATTTCCAAAAAAATTCTATTTATTCTTATTTGAATTATTACAAATATTTGTAGTTCTTTACACTGCAACTTGAATAATATTTTCATAAAAAAATCCTAAGAGCTCAGCAATACGCAGATCTAAGGTATTTCATGAATAATCAAGGACATTTGTCCATCGTAAGAAATAATATCGAATGACCGTACAAATGGAAACCCATATAATAGATTGTGGTGGTAACGGAATATGTGGATAAAGAATTATACGAAATTCTGGGAAAAGCTGGAAGACTATCCGAGGATCGCGCGCAGGTAATTTCCTGCGATCTTGTATCTGCCCTTCATTATTTACACTCAAACAGAATCGTACACAGGTAAGATATTTATACATTTCGTTCGTGCGGACGGTCAGATGCTTAAATATTGCGACTAACTGACACTGAATTTATAGAGATATGAAGCCGCAAAACGTTTTGTTAGATACGAATGGGGTGGCGAAGCTCTGCGACTTTGGCTTCGCCCGCCTCATGAGCCTTGGCACACACGTCTTAATGTCCATTAAAGGAACGCCACTTTACATGGCTCCCGAACTTATTGACGAACTTCCTTATGATCACAATGTTGATTTGTGGTAAACTATTAAAATTAATTAAAAATCTGAGTTAAAAAGTATAAATAGTTTATTTGATTCAAATCATTTAAATTTGTTTTAAATTATTTTTCACTATACATTGACTGTAATGGTGCTCATACAAAATTAAATTTCATTTTTACATATAACTACGTATTATAATATTCAAGGTCTCTTGGATGCATAGTTTATGAATTAGTCACAGGTGTACCGCCATTCCCAACGTCTTCAATGCGTCATCTTGTTAAATTAATAAGACACGATGAAATAAAATGGCCCGATCACATCTCCGCGCACTGCAAAACTTTTCTGCAGGTACAAAGCAACGGATGTAATCCGCAATTCACATACTCTAAGTTACTTACGCCAGACGTTTTATCAACTCATAGGGTTTACTGCAGAAGGATCCATCTCAGAGATTAACATGGCCTAATCTCTTAGAGCATTCTTTCGTAAAGGGTCGGATCTTGACAGTGGACGAGAACATGCCCCGATCTTTGACTACACCACTTTCAGCAAGTCAGGCACGCGCCAAGCAGCAGCAGCTTCAAAGTCTGGCCTCGCGTTTTACAAGTCAATCAAAGTAACATACTTCGCTTCTTATGCAAATTTTTATTCAACCTATATTACCGGACATGGTTCGTTGCATACGATATCTACGGTGTTTAAATAGTGATCGATTTCACAGGAAAATTTTGGAGAAACAAATAAAGAAGATACATTCACAAGTACTGCGTAGAAGTGAACCGAGTGGTTCGGAATCTAGCGCCAGTGTCGACGTTTTATTAAACAACCTTAGCTTGAGGGCGTCGTTACGTAGTGATCTTATAGCTGCCGATCATGTCTTGTGTCAAGTCAATTGTCCGATCATCGATGATGAATTCCAAGTCAAGCAGCAACAACACGAGCAACAGTTCGTTGGTGTGCATCTAGAGAGCATAAAACCCAAGAGCGACTGTTTTGTTAATGCCAACACCTCCGAGAATCCTATTATGGTATATATATATATATATATATATATATATAACGACAAACTACCATTGAGTTGATTCTATTATTCGATATTCTAATTTAATATTGTATTTAGTTCGTTTTCAATTTACCTAAGTACCAGTGTCAATATTTAATACAATGATTTTCATTTCATTGACTTAAAATTAATTAGACAGTATAATGGATCATTAGGTACGTTAAAAAGTAATTCATATTTGCTGCATTCAAAATTTTTTCTACTGTGTCAATGAAAACTTCCGAATAAATAAATTCGTACGTAAGTTTGGTCCAATTCCATGAAACATCGTCTAGTCACTAGTCATGATTAGCACAGATTTTTTAACAGGTACCTGCAGCTTGTTGCATAGTTGCACTGCATCACAATAATGCAAACATGCAAGCAGCTTGGCCGATAGACAATGTCAATGGGGTGACGGCGCCTAGCTGTTGTCTTACATTACAGAATAACTGTAAATCCGAAACTTGCTGTCTGCCAAATTTTAACAAAGCCAACTCGGCTACATGTTTTTCAACATCGATGGATAATCTTAACTCCGACTATAAACAAACATTCTTACGACAAAGTTGTGAGCAAAACAAAGATATCGTCTTGAATGCGGTAAAATAAATTTCTATTATAAAAATTACATTTATTCATATTTTAATTTTATGTATATGCAAAATATTATAATTGAAGTAATAGTAAACTCGTTAATAATGTAGATGTTATCGTATACATAAACAGAAAATTTTGAAGTTTATAATAATAAAAAAGTTAGGACATAAATGTTTTCTCAACATATTTTAAAGAAGATAAAAGGAACAAAATTTACATATTCGTACTAATGAATAAATTAAGAATAAAATAAAAATTTCAATCGTGTATTTATTAAATAACTTGTATCTTAAAAGTCATAAATTAAATAAAAAGCAATCCTACGCCCAAGTTAAGATCAAACTTTAGTGTTCAGTAGTCATTTTGAAAATAATTTGTTTACACAAAGTATAGAAAGTTGATCTTATCCCTGTCTCCGTTCCTGTTTTTATTTTCAAGTAGAACAATATCATGCAGAGACGCACTAGAATACCCGATTGGATTCCCAACGACACGGAGCAGCCTATCGAAAACGAAGAATGGGTAGTATTCCTTCAGCGATCCATGGAAGAAATGATGGATGGAGAGATCGAGTCCCTCCTCCAGGAGAATTGCATGTCCGTGTTCGTATCGCCTCTTAAAAATCCAGCATCCAGTTGTCGAGTTGTTGAGTATATATCTTGCCTTATGTCCCTACCTTTCGTCCTTGGATGCATCACGGGTGAAGATCTCGAAAGGATTCAGCGAGTTTATTTAGACGTGAGAATCGTACCGAATCTAGTATATGCGGTCAAATTGCTCATGAGCATGAAATGTTATAACACAAAAACTGATGCTTCTTCTTCCGCTGCGATGAATAAATGGAGATCCAGCCATACTTTTTCAACGGATGAACTTAGAGTAAGTTATAACACGGTATTTCATTCGGTGAATTGTCGTGCAATTGCTTTTATATTTATTACTTTTGTACATATAATGTTATCGAATGATAAATATAGAAACACACGAAAAATATAATCATCTTTACTGATATAACGCCTGCCATATCGTTTCGAATTTTTAACGTTCGAAAGTTGTTATTATTATTTGGAAATTTTTCAACGACTCGTAATTTATTTATGTGTATAGTTTTTTATAATAAGACAAATAAAAAGGGCAAACTTCACAGGCTCTAGAAAATACGATGCTGTTATTGTGTAGACTTGTCCATGAGAAACTAGATTTTTTGATACAGTTTTGCGACGCCATTTGCGTTGTACCTGACGGACTGCAGTTGTTTCAGCAATTATTAGATTTGGAACAAATAAAAGCAAGAGTAGTATCTGATCTTATTGCGATGATGAGCCAAGTTCTCCGTTCAAGGACTGGCAATATTGAAATTGTCGATGGCATTTTGTTGAAAAATAAATCAGCTGGTAAGTTTCACGATAAAATAAATTATCCATTTTATAATTATTCTATATAATTATAAAATTTATTATAAATCATGCTCTAAATAAATAGCTATTTTATTTAAAAATAGGTATGATGAATAATATATTTTATTTATTAATTTTGAAATTTATTTTAAATCATGTCCTAAATAAACATCTATTTTATTTAAAAATATGTACAATTAAAAAAAATTATAAAAAATCATTGTCACTTGTTTTAAATTAGATGAGTTAATAGATCTTTTTACAAAGCTTGTAACTCATAAACAAAGCAAAGTTCGATTACAAGTTTGTATTTTCCTTTTATTGCTGGGAAAATCCAATCATAAGATGTTACAGCGCATCTGGGGAAAATCTTTAAGAAGTAGCCTTGAAAGTCTTGTGGAAGATAGAGATAAATCTGTTCAAGAAGTACGTATTACTATATTTTTAATAATTTATTTTTATTTGTCTTCAATACTAATTCGCTTGCATATTATATCGTTAGACTGCTTTAGAGGCCATATTGTTATTAAAGCAACTACCATTTTATAGTCAAGATAAAGATACTTGGAACATGACCGAAACGTAAAAGGATTTTGAAAAGGATTAAAATGCAGATGAAATTAAAATTAAATGCTTATTATTGTTAACAAATTTTTTTGTATTCGTATACTTACAACACTCATACATCAATAAACTATTTTACATACTCAGCTATTATATTTAATCAATAACTAATTGATCCTACATAATACTAGAAAAAACGAATTCTATCATAAATAACGAAATATGTAATTTAACCAAAGTGATACGGTAATAACATACAATTTAAAGCAAGCCACTATTTTTTCTTATTCTCTGGCAATTAACACATTTTCATAGGTCTAGTAAAAAAATTCCAGTAAATCTATGCACATAGACGTGTTTTTTCAAATACTATTATCGAGAGTATTCAAGGATTGCAAGGATAAAAGGCACGATAAATAATAAATTAGATTCAATGTATATAATTAGTGTTCTAGAATATTAAAAAAAAAAAACTTTAAGGTGATAGAAAAATTAAAAGGTAAGTAGGGGAATTGTCGCTTTAAAGCGTTAAACATTAGACAGATGATTAATCATAATTTATGTATTCTTAGATAGATTAGGATCCTAAACAATGTTTATTTCTATTTACGTCAAGAAATATTTTCTTTTATAAAATTGGAATAATGTAATGTTAAAAATATATTTAAATACCATTAATAGATTTTTTGTAAAATATATCATCATTATTAAAGTATTTGAATCTCTTATTTCTTAGGCGCTTTTATCAGTATTTAATAATAAAAAAATAATTGTATCTATTGTATATCAATAGATTTTCGTTTTTTTGGCTATGTAACTGAAAATAAATTTACATAATTGTATAATTTTTTTTTATTGTACTATTTGTATATATTATCTAATTATATTACTTAATGATATATATATATATATATATATTAATTTTAACCCCAGTTTATTTATTATCTTAAATTATTATCGATTTTCAAAAACTGTAAATAGTTGTTTTATATGGCACAATGATCATTTTATAAAAATAACGTTATAAATATTTTTAATAAAAAATATATAAAAAAATATTCAAGAATATTAAACGAGATATAAGAAAAAAATATGGGAAAAAGTGAATGAAAAATGACAGAAGGTAAGGAGAAAGTTTCAGCAGCAATACACGTGAAAAGGATCGAGCCATGAATGACTAGACTAGATAAAAATAAGTTTAAACTGAGATATATTGCATTTAAATGCGTGCATATGTAAGCAGAGTCTTAATGAAAAAGATTTTAACTAAAGAAACCGGCGAATAAAGATCTGATATAGTAAATTTTTTTATTTTGATACTGCAAATCTTAAGGTTAACAAGCTTTTGATGAATGGAACATAATTTTTATTTCTAATCTAGTAGCTTTGAGCCAACGATACCATTTCACCTTGTATGTTAACATATAATTATTATCTTAAAATTATTGTACTTCTTGCAATAATCAATAGCTCATTTTTTGCTTAAAATTTATGCAGCGATTACAGAGTCCTAAAAACTTGTCATATACTATTTGCTAAATTAGATTTCAAACATCAGTAAAGATAGCTAATGGCATATTTAAAAAAAAAACTTAGAAATTCTATTTTGAGTAATTTTACTGATATAATTTACATGCAAGCTTATGTTCTTTCTTGGTTACATTTTTTTTTGTTCGTAAAAGGCATCAAAATTATATTAAATTGCAAATATTGATATTATAAAATTTAAATTAAATTATGAAGCATTAGTTCTAAACGATACTCTGTTATTGTTTGATAACTTAACGAACATTATAAAAGAATTAAATCAATACGAAAATAATGTTAATAGATCATTAATCATATTAAAATTTATTTCGTGAATCCATTGAAGCATCAATTAGATTATACAACTCGCATAAAATATGTTCTCATTTGTAAAAATTACAAAAAATTCGGGAATCAACTCGCTTATGTGGTTTAGGTATACTTTAATTTAGTTTAAATTTATAGTCTACCCTTAAACATCGAATACTATCCTGGAGAAAATGGGAAATTTATATAGGCATCATACATACTGTTTGGTATACATGAAATAAAAACTGTTAAACAGATTATCTTTTAAATAATTCGACTGATTGCATATTCGATTTGAATAAAAATAAATGAAGTGCCAGAGGTAATATATAAATATATTCCTTTTCTTCTTGTAACTTCCTAAATTGAAATGTCTCATACAATAACTAATATAAAATATAATACTAAATGTATCAATAAAATTTTTAAATTTAATAATTAATATGTATGTTTGTATTCAATTTCATTCAAAATGTACAAAATTTTACTGCGTATATAACAATTATTCAATCAATCTGTTAATTGACTATAAATTGTCGATAATCCACTAATAAAAATCATTTAAAATAATATTACAGAAAAACTTACGTGTACTTATTTGAAGTGTAAATATAATGATATTAATAGGTATATCCGAATGAAAATCTACATTTAGTGAATCATAGACGATAATTATTTTGCTTTTATTAGATAGAAAATTGATGCAGATATTAGCATTCGAGTTACACATTTAAATTTTAATAATCTATTCTTTTATATTATACTAAGATACATTATGCTTATTACATTTTCTGAATCGTTACTATAACACTAACATATACGCCGAAAAAGTCAATGAAGCAAGTTTAGCAACAGAATATTATTTATTTTTGTCTTATATAAATCTTTTAAATAAAGCACAGTATATACAGTATTTAAAAAAGACTTATATGCACATATTTTAATAAATTTATTAAAATGTTTAAAATTATGATTACATAATTAAAGAAGTCAATAATTTTCAAATGATATCTATTGTTCAAAAAAATGACGTGTGACTATATATGTATTTTCATAAACGTAAGATGAATCATTAAAGAAAGTACTTAACAGTAGTACAGAAAAGCGGCAAGATATACTGAAAATGAAAGCAGAGTACAGCGTTCGATACAGGTGTTCATGTTTTTTTTGCGATCGTATTTGCAAAAACAGAAAGATTCTTGTTTATTATGGAAGTTCATTGCTCGAAATACTATATAAAGAGAAAATGAAGCATCAAAAAAGGATATTTTTTTATCATTCTGTGTACCGTCTGACAAGGGCTATACTATCTTTTCATGCTGTTATAATTACAACGAACTCTTTGTCTTTACGTGATAAATTCAAAATATTAAATCTTATACTAATTAAAAGCTTGTGTTTGTTAAATAACAAGTATCTGGATTCTTCAAACATTTGATTTTGAAATTGTAATGATATAATTATCAACCTATTTTTCCAATATATTTATTTACATAATAGAAAAATATTTTACTATAATGTAAATAATATTTTTCGTATAACATTAAAAAAGAACTCAAATCAATAACTATTAAATATACTAAATGCACTAAAAGTATTTCCATTTTTCGTTAATTCTATCTTACCGTGTAAACAGTGTTAAAATTTAATTTACTTACAGAAAACTTAATAACTAATAAGATAATTCCAATTGCTCATACTTTTGAGATAATATTTCTCATCAAATAAAGTATTAAGTTATAATAAAAATAAATAATAATAATAAAGAAGTAATTTATCATAATTTTATATTTACTTAATTCAAAATCCAGTAAATTTGTATATATATTTGCCAAAATATAAATATAGTTAATATTACTGATTCTATATTTATTATTATCATCACATTGCAATTATTTTTATTTGCATTTTTCAGTGTCTTTTTTAATGTTTTAACAATAAGAAGAAGGTCTACAAATATTATAGAATATATATATATATATATATATTAATAAAACCAATTACAAATAATTTTCAATAAAAACCAAAATTTCTTACATATAGAAGAGAAGGTAATAAGAATTTTTTAGAACTGTTAGTATATATGTTTGCAAAATACATTTTTTTAATGCCCTCAAAAATTATTGAGTAACGCAGTAATTTTCAATTAAATAAATTATAAATAATATCAATATTTATTATATAATACAAATTTTAACCTGTATATTGATTATATATTCTTGTTTTGTAAAAGAAAATTTTCATATCGTCAGTGTTTAAATAAAAAATATTGAGAAATTATATGATCAAGCTATTTCAAAATATGAACTTAGAATCATTAATAAAAAATATAGATTTTAATTCGTTTTTAATGTTAAACAATGAAACTATTGAATAATATATTTAAGGAAGTATTTATAGCTTCTACACTTACACGTCCCTAAAAAACTTTTTATCCATACAATAAGAATTAATAAATATAAATGAAAAATATTTTAAATTCGTGAACATTGGACTAGTAAAAAACAAAAAACGCATCCAAGATAGAAGCACGTCTCATTGTACAAACTTCTCAACTAGGCATTTTGTTTCACGCTTACGACGTTAACCTTGCAAAATATGACATTAAACAGCAGCTGGTCCAGATTGCACCTTAGTACATTTTTAAAAGTATCTCGATGACCTCGGTTCTGGGTGATGCATTAAGGAACAAGAAGAAAACCACAAAAAAGTTCCACTGTGTGATGCACGCGGATGATAGAACGAAGATAAATTAAAGTTTAAACAGTATGGAACATTATTTTTATGACGTCCAGGAAGAATAGAAAGAAAGAAAGCTTTTTTATTTTAGATTATATCTATATCGTATAATACATTAATCGTTTTTCCTTGTTTGTAATATAATAACAAACTCAGGAGCATTGAAGGCTTCTTGAGCCCGAGCATCGATACACGATCTCAGGAGTCCATGCGTACACGTCACATTTGCGCATTATGAGGTATATTAGTATGAGAGAATCCGGCTATGGCCTCGAAAACATGCACGTGTACGCATTCTGGAAGAGAAATCGGACCCTAGGAGACAAGAGCCGGCAGATGGCACGCGTTCGGGTTCCATTAACCGCAGGGACGAACTTGAGAGTGGAGCAGAATCGAACTCAGAGTGGTTGTTCCTCTCCCCACTCATATGCTTGCACACTATTACTTCTTTGTATCCCATAGTAAACTCTTGGGGTCATTTCTTCGCTTTGGGCCTTGCACGAAATAACCCGAATAATGATTTTACAACTGCC